CGCCACGCCTCTGCTCACAGTCACCCCTCCGAAGCTCCCGTACACGTCCCGAGCCGCACCCCGTGAGATCCAAGGGCTCGCAGCTGCCGCCGCGTTTGAACCGACCATCTGGATCCGAAATCCGCCTCTCCCCCATACCCACACACAGTCCGGATCCAGGCCCCGCCGCGGCTGCTGCCGCCGACCCCGGCGGCACTGGGCCCCCCACCATAGGACCACCGGAATATCCGGCTCCGGGCACTGACGGCAATGACCCGAGCCCGCCGCCGCCACCAGGGCCGCCGCCGCCGCCGCCGGCAGCGTCCACGTAGCTACCCGAGGAGAGGGCCGGGAGGGGGGTTCCTCCTCCGCCGCCGCCGCCGCCGCCGCCGCCAGCCCCCGCCGCCATGAAGGACGCCAGGGCAGCGCTTTGCTGCGGCTTGATGCGGCTGATGATGGCATGCAGGTTGAGCTGTGCGATTATGGATGTCGTGAGGGGGTGAAGATAAGGGGGTGAACAGAGCGCGACGGTGTGACGAAATGCCAGGGAGGACAAGTTTCCAAGATTCCAACGACGTGAAATTCTGTACTGACTTTAAAATGAACACGAGGGAAATATGACGGTAAAACTTCAGTCGGGACACTGCTGAGCTTGTTGAGGAGCTTGTTGAGAATTCGGGTTGACGTGGTGCTGCGAGGACCCCCCTAGGTGGTGGTGGTGGTGGGACCCCAATAGTCGGGGAAGTTACGGTGTAATGTGCCCTTGGTTTATAGCCTTCTGAAACGGGCATTCAAATTTGCTCACGCTGCGCGCCTCTCTCTCTCTCTCTCTCTCTCTCTCTCTCTCTCTCTCTCTCTTTTCTCTCTTTCGACACACGGACAGACGGACACGTTGCAAGGTACAGGTAAAGCACGTGTGTGTGTGTGTATGTAGATCGTGGGTTCGTGGTGGCATTGTGTGGGCTGCGCAGCTCGGCAGGAGATAGCTCTTTAGGACAGCTGGGGGTTCTGCACCACGAGCTGGCCGGGGATCCAGAGGAAAGGAAAGACAGGTTTGGGAGCGTAGTTGGGAGGGCTTGGAATTGGGGGATGGCTGTTCAGGGTTGGGTTGCTGCTAGGTCAGGAGGAAGTGGGGCGAATGTGGGGATGACACCCATGGCGCGCACCTTGATAGTTTTGGCTGCGGCCTGAGCCGCCAGAGAGGCATCTTGTTGTTTTACAGCAGCTAAAAATGCTGGGTCCTGGAGCAAGTACCCGCAGATGGGGTCATGCGGCGTGACCGGCGTGCAGGAGGCACCATCCTGCGGCATGCTCAGCATGGCGGTGGCACAAAAGGGTTTGCAAAATCCTAAGCGGCTTATCGTATGAAATATGCTTTTTGGAGGCTAGTTTTCAACGAAGGGCGGGGACGCCCTAGAATAATGTAAGCCACACCGAATGCGACCAAACGCGACATGAGTAAAGGGGAGAGTATTGCAGATTTTGCGATCTACCAAGGATGGCTTTCACCCTGTATACCTGTGCACATGGTTGCGCCTGTAATGAGGCCCCAGTGGGTGTTGTTGCTGCCGTTTGCACAGTTGGTGGTGGCAATCCCGAGGGAGCCGTCGGCATCACTGCTGGGCTAGGCGCTGCTGTAGGAGCTGCATGTGCAGGTTGCTGATCCTGTGATGTAGCTCCAGCAGCAGCTGCAGCTGCAGCGCCTTCAATGCTTGGGGTCGATGTGAGGGGCGAGGGCGCTGGTACAGATGCTGGTGCAGGAACCGCCGTAGGTACCTCTAGTGAATTGGCACTGCTGTCCTGCATTTTCGACTGTTTACTTCATCGTCTGACAGTCCTACTTTGCTGGTCAGGGCTTTCCCAAAGCATTCTCCCTATATATAAACATATCATGGCAACGTGGTTGAATTCGGGGAACAAGCGTACTTCCTCCTCATCTTATTTAACTGTTATGGTTCTCGTCCTTACCGCATGGGCACGTCGTACAATTTTGACTCCCGAAACACTATGCGCCATACCCTGTGCCACGCACGTACAAAAGTATTTTGTACACATCAACGCCTGTGTAATGTTTTGGAGTAAGTTGACGACCTACCGGAACTCATGTCAGTACTTGTCGTAACTTCGGAGCTAACGGAGCTACGATTGGAGAAGTACGGCGCGTGGTGATGATGAGCGCTAGCCTGACTATATAAGCGGGCCACATTAAAATCACTGCGCGTCTTAGCGAATTTCGAGCAATTTCGCTTCTCGGGGCTTACACCAGTTTCTGGGCAAGCTAAATCAGCGTACGCTTCCCGATTGTTTAGGAGCGGTCCGGTTCCTTTCAGCCTACGCTCCGTGTCGAGATAGCTCTTTTTCGCTTTGCAGTGCAAAAAACTGCAGTGTAACCGGTGCTAACAGCTGGAAGGACTTCAGCAGGAAGACAGCCGTGGGAGAGCTACGGTAGCTTTTCCTCCGCGTTCCTATTCTTACAAGAAAACGAGACGCCGCTATCTGCCGCTCCCCACCATCGCGCTCATTCTAGGGCACATGCCACTTAGCATGTGGTGAAAACTTGGGTGAACTAGGGGACCGTGGATGGGGGATCTGCGGACTTCATATAACAAACACACGCGACACATTTCCGCGCCACGTCCTTCCTTTCCAATGTCTATGTCCGATGTCTGTGTGACCTTTTTCGTCCACGCGTGTGCATGCGGGCAGAGGCTCCAAGGGAGTCTTGCAGGGGTAGGATCTGGGCTGGAATTGGGGAAGAGCTCTGTTGCAGAATTGGCCTGACTTTTATTCCTGACAAAAAACTTGGTCCGTCAGGGTCTTGAAATCTTCTGGCGGGCCGCCGGAGGTATTCGAATTGCGCTGTGGAGCCCCGGAATTGCGCTGGCTGGTGGGCAGACCGGGTATCGCATTGGCCTGTCCGGGTATCGCATTGGCCTGTCCGGGTATCGCATTGGCCTGTCGGGGTATCGCATTGGCCTGTCCGGGTATCGAATTGGCTGTCGGATTGGCAGGGTTGGCTCAGGCCGGCATCCGGAAGTGCATGACTTTAAGAAATGTACAGAAACCTTTGCAAGGGGACCGCTTACAAGTGCCTCACGTGCATGTTGGTTTCGATCCCAGTACGTGGGGCACGAAAACTTGCACGCCTGGTTACCGTACTCTGGCACACACTGCCCGTTCACGCGTTGGACTCCAACAGACCGTCGAATTCTTCAGCCCTGCTTAGGCTAGGCACAACTGGTAAGGCACGGACCATTGCCCCCGGAAGATCCCGGGATTGAGACCTGTTAGAATCGAAAATTCTATCATTGGTGGCAGGTTGTTGTTGTTGTTGTTGTTACATGGTCGTGGGTGCGTTCCCCGTACCTGCAAACCACCCTTGTACGAGCCGAGGGCTCAAGGGCTGCCAAATCGCCTATAAGCACCATCCTACCTCGCACTTCCAACGAAACAAGTGATGAAGTATACTAACGACCAAAGGGAACGATAGAGTTGCGGTGGGACCATATGCGTTCCAGCATCCTTGCCAGGCGTTCAGGTTCCCACTTCATAGCGTCCTTCATATGTTCGAAGCGTGGAAAGCCCATATCAGATCTGATTTCGTCGTACACCGGACAGTCTAGCAAAATGTGTTTGCCATCCTCGATATGGCTATCAGTGCCGCAGCAAGGGCATACTCGCTCCTCCCTAGGTATATAACGCCGTCCCTTACACGCTCTGTTAGCCGCCAGTCCCCAACAGCAAAGCCTAAACTGCATAAGCTTGCGATTCGCCGAACGCGGGATAAACATTGTGATATGCAGGAGCACCTCCTTCCTGCCCGCTTGCTCGGCCGCCAAAACCATCCAATGCTTATACTTCGCCATGTGGATTCCTGGTTGCTTGCCGTCTGACGGATACACGTCAGGCTGGACATCTAAACGCGTATGCTTCCAACCACCCACTAATCGGTCCTTGAACTCCAAAATCACACCTTCTGGCATTGGCCTGTTCATCAGCCACTCCACTCGTTCGTCTACCTCATGTAGCCCTTGCAGGGCCTCTTTCCATGGCAGGTGAAGTGCCCCATGCTCATGTAACGGTGATTTGTGGTGCAAACTTTGGCAACTCCCTGGATAGTCATCAGCGTCATCACAGCGCAGCTTCTTGTAGCAGAGGGATGCAAAGATTAGGGATTGGGTTCGGGTACCGGTCAGGCAGGAATTAGGATTCGGAAAGAGGGGCAGGATTAGGATACAAAGTTGAGGCCAGGTTTAGGATGAGGACCCGAGTGTAGGATTAGGATTGGGACCCGGCCCCAGGATTAGGATTGCGACCCGGCCCCAGGATTAGGATTGGGACCCGGCCCCAGGATTAGGATAAATACCTATATCCAGGATTACGATTAGTACACTGGTATTGGATTAAGATTAGGGCACCGCAATGATTGGCAATTAGGATACTGCTATGTAGGAGGACTATCAAATCCAGCTACCGTTCAGACTGGGTTAGAAAGTTGCTATGCCATGTCATACTAAGTGATGTCGCGTGTGATGTGTGCGCTCATGCTCCTGATCACGGAAGCCATACGCAGCGATCAGGGATCAGGGATCAGGGATGCGACCGTATTCGTTTTGGCCGTCTGGCGTAATAATGGTACCTCAAATTAATACGCCAGGCGTATGGCGTATCAATACGCCGGGGTTCACGCCATGCCGTATTACAATACTCGTGGCGTATTCCTTTTGCGCTATTCCGTCATGGAATTCATGTTTTTCGCTTTTACAATGAAAGGCGTATTGCTTTAGTGTTTGGAAAACGATCTCTCACAAGATAAAATATGAATTTGGGCAACAGCCAGACCTGGACAGCCATCGAGCCATGTGCGCACACATTCGCGTCTGCATTCTAGCATTCCTAACAAACCGTGATTATCACAAATACTACAGCCCAAATAGAGATAGCTTGGGTGTCAGGCCAACACCACAGACGACAGACCACACCCCCCTAAAGCCTCCTCACTCCCCCACGGCGAACGACATCGCCTTCTGGCCAGGGTTGAGCTCCAGCGGCTGCTTGGTCCAGTCGAACCAGGGGAAAGTGGTCCGCAGCAATGCCTCAACCGTGCTCATTGATGAACTTGCACTTGCGAGCATAGCGCTTGGAGCTAGAGCTATAGTCACCGACTTCTTCGAAATAATCCAACACAGCACTAGGCTTAGGTCCGTTTTCCATTTCGCGGGTTGTTATTACAACAAGGTATGTTGCAAACCCAGTGATAAGCAAACCCTAAAACCTAATCCTAAGTATCAATTAATTACACCAATGACTCGGGAATGTCAATAGCTCGATATTTCTCAAAATCGGCGAGTTTTCAGACTGTACGACAACCCAACGACAAACAATACGCCAACAATACGCCAACGCATAAACAGCCCAACTGGCTGGCGTATTCGGCGTATTAATACGGGCGTATTAGCTGGCGTATTAATATGGAATACGGTCGCATCCCTGCATACGCTCCAGGAGCTCCAGCCATGCTTCTGACAGGCGTCTGCTGATCAGTAAAATTGCGATAAAACAATCTGCAAAAATTGACGAGGACGGTCTAGACACGAAGACGTATGGATGGCGTCCGCGCCTCCTCCGGAACCAACTGCACGACATTGAGGGACGCTTCCAAAGGCAGTCGCGTGGTATGCGTCCTTATAAAATATTAGTAGGTTAAATGTCGGAAACTTTATGAATAATTCTTCTGAAAGGGCATAGGCTCCGTTTCTCGTTGGGATGCCACGATGATTACAAAGAGGGCCGAGCGACTTAAGCCAGCTAACAACCTACAAGATGTAACAATGATGACATAACAAACTAAACAACAACAACGACTTAAATAGTTATCCAGAGCCTAGGCGGCGCCGGAAGGTCGTACATTATCCGTATCTCAAATGATCGTCCACGAGTAAAGTTAACGACTTAACAACTAACAAGAAAACCTAACATGCCCCCCTGCTTAGCTCAAGCATCGGCCTCGATGCGACCAAAGTACAAACTATGCTAAGTCGTGCGCCGCTCCGATTCCCTGAACGAAATCGGTACCAGGCTAACGAGGGGAAGGCAAAAGGGAACCGGAGTCAAGGCAAAACCTTCCCCGCACTGGATACCGGCCTAAATAAGGCGCACGACACCTATATCTACCGGTCTGAGGAACCGGTATACGACCCAACGAACGTGTCCAGAAACATCCACAAAGAGTACGCAAATCAAAAGCCTAAGGCACGGAAAGCAAACTCGGTGGATGACAAAAGAACGCAAGAAAACACGAAAGTACACAACATGCAACACGCAATACCCCGAAAAAAACAGAAGTCAAGACACGACACGCGCAAAACTGAGGCGAAATAACCCAAAACTGAAAACACACAGGACACGAGTCACACACAACACACATCCTATGCGGAGCGCTAGGTTGTCATGAAGTGCACTATCCTCGGGGCCCGTTCCGGAAACTTCGCTCTGAACCAGGCATAGCGGTCTGACAGCTTAAACGCGGTCCAGGCTGGGGTCGCCAGGAAGGCACGAAGTGCTGGAAGGCTGCGTACGTCATCGTACGGTTCCCAGGACGCGTCACGGCCACTGGCGGTAGACCACTGAACTAGGAACATGACGGACGGCCGACCACGACGGTTATAACCTAGGCGAACTGCAGTAACGATAGTGTCGGCGTGGTCGTACGGTGACTCCAGTGTGATGGGCACGGCGGGCGGAGCTGGAGGACGGTTGGGGAAGAGCGTAGGATCGTTGTCTGTCCACGGAAGCAGGCGGGAGAC